TCATCCCAGTGCCCTGCAGGTATGTACTACTAGCTAGCTAATGTGAAGGTCTTGTCGAATTAGATCAATTTTCAGGCTGGTTATGGTTTTAAGCGAGAATGATGAGCTAGCTAAATGCTTGCAATGCAGGGGATATAGTAAAAGTGCAAGCAAAAATCAGCACAAGAAAAGAAAGAAGAAGAAGAAGAAAGAAATAGACGTAGACGGCAACGTAACGTCTACCTAGCTGGATATTAGCCATATGTGATCATCAACTTGCGATATATATGTGCAGTGCAACCATGGAGATACATGAATGTATGGTAAACATGTTTGTTGAAATGCTCGAATTCATTTGTTTGATTTTGTCTTTTCTGGTCTCACTTCTAAATTTTTTACGTATATTAGTTGACTTAATTGATAGACTTGTTGAAATGATAACTTACGTAAAATAATGTACTTCCCCGCCCCGTTCTGGATTCATTCTATCAAAATTAGAGGTGACTATTAGAATTAATATCCATGAATCCAATCCATCCATCAAATTATCCACCTAACCAATCAATGTAAATCCAATCCATTTGATCCAAATCCAATTGGATTGGTTGATTCATCAATTGATCCACGAATCCCATTTTAATGCAATTGTGGATAGCACTGAAACTTCAAACTCAGCGGGTTTGGGGGAGAGTGCCCAACATTTCAAGTCCTGGATCAATGAGATGAAGTTGTTAGATCACAAAGTCATGGGACCATGGTTCACATGGTCTAATAAACAATTTGCAAATCTCATAGCAAAATGTTTAAATCATGCACTTGTCTTAGAAGGTTGGTTAGAGGCTTATCCTAGGAGTTCAGTCAAGGTTCTCTTGCCTGGACTCTCAGATCACTGTGGTCTTTTAATAAGTATGGACTCCAAGATCCAAACTTTGCCTTGTCCCTTTAAATACTTTAGTTTATGGAAGCTTCATCAACATTATGACAGCCTGGTAAAGGAAGGTTGGCTATGTTCTGTAACTGGTTCGGCTATGGCAAGGTTGTATCAGAGATCCATGCATATTAAAGGTCGTTTAAAGGGGTAAAACAGAGAATGTTACTCTGATATTCATGAGAGGGTGGTTAAAGCTAGGAATGAGCTTGCTAGAGCTCAACAAGAAGTGATGGAGCGTCCTGCCTCATCAGCCTTCCAGGCTGAAAAGAGGTGTATGGTCCAACTTCTTGAGATCCAACAAGTTGAGGAATCCTTTCTTAAACAAAAATCAAGATAACAGTGGGTAAATAGTGGGGATACTAACTCAATGTTCTTTCATAGTATGGTCAAAACAAGGCAATCTAAGAACACAATTGAACAACTGGATACTGAGACATGATTAGTAATAGAGAACATTGAGGAGATTGGTCAGGAAGCAGTATTTCTATAAGAAGTTGTCGGGTACTCAAGACTTGCAATTAAACAGAGTCATTGTGGACACACTAAGGCAATTGTTGCAACTCCCTTTCGCAGAAGATAGTGAGGATCTATGTTCCATGGTCACAAAAGGTGAAATCAAGAGAGTGGTGATGGGAATGAAGAAGGGGAAAACGCCTGGACCTGATGGGTATTCGGCAGAATTCTTTCAAGATCACTGGGAAATGGTAGGAGCTTAATTCACTAAGGTCATTCAAGAATTCTTTCATTCAGGCAAGATGAGGAGGGAAATCAATTGTACCATATTAGACCTTATACCTAAGGTACCAAACGCAAACTCTATGATAAACTTTAGACCTATATCCTGCTGTAATTTTGTGTACAAGTTCATATCTAAGATCCTTGCTAATAGATTAAAACAAGTCATGCCATAGATAATTAGTCCAAATCAGTCAGCCTTTATTCGAAGGAGAATCGTCACAGATAATATTGTGCTTGCAAATGAGATGGTGAAATGATATAAAAGGAAAAATGTCTCTCCTAGTTGTGCCCTTAAGATAGATATTATGAAGGCCTTTGATGGTGTAGTTTGGGATTTTCTAAATTGTACATTGATTGCTATGGGAATCATAGGGAAGTTTGTGAGCTGGGTAAAAGGTTGTTTCGTTTCTACCAGTTTTACAGTATGCATAAATGGGGGGTTAACAAGGCATTTCCAGGCCAAAAAGGTACTGAGACAGGGTTGCCCCCTTTTCCCATATCTGTTTGCTATTAGCATGGAGGTGCTCAGTTGTATGCTCAATAGAGCAACAACTCATTCTGTTCTGCCTTATCACCCTCAATGTAGTAGAATCAGCCTCACACATTTGTGTTTTGCTGATGACTTACTAATTTTCACGAAAGGATTGGTAGAAGGGGTACAAGTAGTTGCAGAGATTCTTCATAAGTTATATCTAGTGTCAGGGCTAAAGTGCAACCCAAGTAAGAGTGAGATATTCAGTGTTGGGGTGTCTGAAAATTTGAAGGCTGATTTGGTAAGGTGTTCTGGGTTCAAGGAAGGTATCTAGAATTACCTCTCAATGCTGGGAAACTCTCTTATGAAGACCGCAAGGCCCTGATTGACAGAATAGCGGGGAGAATTCTAGGGTGGCAACCAAAACTGTTAACCTATGTAGGGAAGCTCGAGTTGGTGGTTTCAGTACTAGCTAGCATGACTCAATTCTAGATGAATGTTACTCATGTCGAAGAAGGTGATTAAATCAATAGAAACTCTTTGTTCTCAGTTCCTTTGGAGTGATTTTGCGAAGAAGAAAAGGGCCAAGGTGTCCTGGAAAATGGTGGCTTTGCCTAGAAGAGAAGGTGGAATGGGCTCCAAGGATATTTTCTCTTGGAATAAAGCATGCCTGGCTCGTCATATTTAGGGTATTCTTTATGACCAGGAAACACTTTGGATTGCTTGGATGAAAAAAATATAGACTTTGCAATCTTAGCATTTGGGAAGTGAAAACTAGAGGTTCTTGGTATGGAACAAGATTCTAAAACTTCGTGATACTTTTGTTGGGAAGCTATGCAAAACTAGTCAAGGGGTGGAATGGGAAGGAGAGAAGATGACCAAGTTCCAGATTGGTAAGGTGTGGCAGAGCATTACGTCGAGAGGTGAATCAGTGGTGTGGTCTAAACTTGTCTGGAAGGGTGGAATTCCTAAAAATTTTGTGCTTACTTGGTTGATTCTATTGAGGAGAATAACCACCCTGGGTGTGGTGCAATGTTGGAACCCAGATGTAGTCACTATTTTCCCTCTTTGTGGGCAGGAGCCAGAGTCAAGAGACCATTTATTTTTCTGTGTGAGTTTGTGCAGGAAGTATGGAGAAGAATTTTCCTTGTGCCATGGCAGCTCCCGGTGGCACTTAATCTGCTGCAGGTAATGGAATTGGCAACTCATAAGCTTAGCAAATGCCGGGTTGGTCGAGTGCTCCGGTGTTTGGTGTTGAGTGAAGTTTGGCGAGAATGTTGTAGGCGGCTTTACGAGGGAAAACATATGTTTGTCGAGAACTTGGTTTGTAAGATGCAGGGGGTAATGGAAGCTGGGGATCATAGATTTGCTGAGTCACCTGCTGTTCAGATTTTGTGGTATAAAGGAGATGTGTAGTAGTTTTGTAAAAAGCTGTTAACAGTAGGCATTTAGTTTGTTTCCTTTGTTCTAGTATCAGCTATGTAGATGTTACATGGTTTCTTGTAGACATTGTTCTTGATCGTATTTGATGAATAAGATCCAAATCATTCATCGGAAAAAAAAAAACTTGAAACTTGGTTATTGAAGTGACGTAATTTTTAGGCTATGCATATGTACTTGACCCAAGATTTTCTATTTTCAATCGCACAGTACAATGATAGGAATTTTGCCCAAAAATAAAAAATAAAACAGATTATAGTTTCATTAGATAAAAAAGTAATTACTTTATTTTTTATAAGTTTACATGAAAGTTAGGGGAAATGACTTATTAGAAAAAAGAATCAAAAGAATTGCATTAGAGAAAAAAGAATCATACCATCTTTAAAAAGAGAGTGATGTCGAATTCGTTTTCTTGATACGTAAATGACTAGGTTATCATGTGACTTTATTTACCAATGACACTTTCACTCATATCAAAATAACTTGGTTATAAAAACAATATTTTTATACAAATAGAATTATTGTGTATCATGGTGGCACATGTATGAATTATGTAAGTATATTTTAGCAATTTTATGGTGTAAGACATGTCACATACATATGTGATTGTGATAATGTATTGTGCTAGTAAGTTACCATTTTCCTTTCATAATATTATCAACAACTAATGCAATAACCACACAAATATTTTTAGTATATAACTATATTTGTGTATTAGTCCACATATTTATAGTAGTATAGACAAAATGTTACATTGTTGGTGTGATAGAATATCAAAGAGATTTTTTCTTTGGTTTTTTTCGTATTTTTCAATTTGAAATGAACATGATATAAAAATGAAATAAGTGTTTGAATTTGAATAATAAATATTTATGTTTTTTTACTTTATTTTTCTCTTTATGTTTTTTTGAAATATTTTTATATTTTTATTGAACATAATAGGAGGAAAATTTAAATGAAAGTTATTTTTATTTACTAATGATTTTTTTTATGATCAATAGTAAATATACTACACAGTGTGGTAGCTTTAATTTATGTAAATTTTAGGGCCTGTGTTTTTATAATTGAGTCGAATGTCAACCGGTAAAGTAAGAAGATCACAGTCAGAGGTCGGATGTTAAATCTGTTCAAAATATAAGTATTAATCTTGTTATGTTGATAACATCAAATAGAATTTAACACATTGGTCAATCTAATAATTTTAAATTAGAGTGAAAAGGTTGTAGGTTCAGTCTTAGTGAATATGATTACATATCTTATTATTATATTAATTTTAGGTGAGTTGAACATAAAAATTTATGAAAATATAAAATGACAAATGTGACATGAAAAATTGTGGATAGGCACGTGTTTGCCGCATGTCAACAGTCTGCTACACCGCCAATAACCTAGAAACAGCCGGAGAAAGTCACCAGAAGTCTAGAGTTGGAGCAACCAGAAATGTCTCACGGTGGAGAAACTGTCTGCGTCACCGGCGGAAGCGGCTGCATTGGCTCTTGGCTCATCTCACTCCTTCTCGACCGCGGCTACACCGTTCACGCCACCGTCAAAGACCTCAGTTACTCAAAACATTTCTTCTCCAAACTTTCCCCATCTTTCTCAATCCATGGTTTCGTCCTTTCAAATGCAATTCGCCCACACATTTCTACTTTACAGAGGCTGATTTCAGTTCCCGTTTCCGTGTCTTATGCTAGACGACGAGAAGGAGATGAAGCATTTGCAAGCTCTAAAAGGAGCAGAGACGCGCCTCCATTTACACCAAATCGACCTTCTCGACTACGACTCGATCTCCGCTGCCATCGATGGCTGCGCCGGCGTCTTCCACCTCGCCTCTCCTTGTATCGTCGATGAAGTCCAGGATCCTGAGGTAGGTAGCATCGCCAGACGAGCTCAGCTGTGTTCAATTTGGCTTTCCCCTTTTTACTCCGAACTTTCAAATCGTCGTGCCATTTTTTTTCTTTCTCTGGAGCAGAAACAGCTACTGGACCCGGCAATCAAAGGGACGATGAACGTGCTGACGGCGTCTAAGGAGAAAGGAGTGAAGCGTGTGGTGGTGACGTCTTCCATCTCCGCCATCACGCCGAGCCCCAAGTGGCCGGCTGACGTTCTAAAGAGAGAGGATTGCTGGACTGACGTTGAGTACTGTAAGCAGAACGGAGTAAGTTTGTACTAGTAGGAACGAGTCATACTAATTGCTTCCTAATTGAGTCATAATGTGAGCAGAACTTAGTCACTTTCCAACTGGATCATACTGTAAGTTAGTAGTAGTGGGAATGCATCATACTGTAAGTGGAACTAAGCCATTTTCCAACCGGATCATACCATCTGCTTTCCATTTGAATCTTTCATAGTTTGCTTCTCCATTTTTGAAGCACTGATGCTGTGTCCTGCTTTTGAGTTGATAGTTCTGGTATCCGCTCTCGAAGACACTAGCGGAGAAAGCTGCGTGGGAATTCGCCAAGGAGAAAGGTTTGGATGTTGTGGTGGTGAATCCGGGTACCGTCATGGGTCCTGCTATCCCGCCTACTCTGAATGCGAGCATGTTGATGATTTTGCGCCTTCTGCAAGGTGATGGTTTCTTATTCCCCATTTTCATTTGCATTTGTGTATGTTCTGTAGGTTTAAGGCATGAAACTGGTGCTCTAGTCACCGTCACCCTCTGTGGAATTGGCCAGTGAGTGAAGATTCAGCATTGCCTTATGCTTGTGGATCCTCTTTTTTGAGGAGTATTAGGCCCTGCATTTGCTTGAATTTGGATACTTAAACTGTTGTACTTCGATACCCAACAAAGCAATATCGCTCCAAAACCAAAGGCAAACTGAAATGGTTTTCTTCATGTGTATGAAGTCAGAAGCTAGGAGAATTAGAATTCTTGGTGGCTGTAGGAGAAGGTACTAAGGCAATAAGGTTAAACCTGTGGTACAGCAAAGAATCTGTTGGAAATATCTTTACTTCCTCCTCTTTACTCTTGACTTACTGTTTATCTTGGCTATATGACAAACCTCGGTTTTACGGTTCTAGTGACATCTCTTGTAGGAAACCTGTAAATATATGGGGTTATGCGTTGAAACCTGTAAGTGATAAGAGAAAATGACAGTTTTGAGTCTTCATTAGTTACTAATGTTTGTCAATTGTTATGCCATTCTTTTGGATTTCATGAAGCGCTCTGACTAATCTGCATTTCTGCTGAATATGCATGTCTCTCGTGCTTGCTTGCATTAGACGTTTGAGTGATAAGGTGAGATTTATCCTTCGCAGGCTGCACAGAGACGTACGAGAACTTCTTCATGGGATCTGTCCATTTTAAAGATGTAGCGTTAGCACATATTATGTTATATGAAAACCCATCCGCAGCTGGTAGACACTTGTGTGTTGAAGCCATATCTCACTATGGTGACTTTGTGGCAAAGGTTGCCGAGCTATATCCTGAATATAACGTGCCAAGGTAAACTTTATAACTCCTTCCTTTCATCCCACATTATACATTTAAACGAATCTATAGTCAATGCTGAACTGCTTCTCGCTTTGGGTTGCCTTCCTCTTTTGTAGCTTGCCTAGGGATACACAGCCTGGGCTGTTAAGGGGAAAGAACGGAGCTAAGAAGCTGATGGACATGGGTCTAGAGTTTATCCCCATGGATCAAATCATCAAGGATTCAGTTGAGTATCTCAAAGAAAAGGGATACTTATCCTAAGTGAAGCTCTTTCGGGACTCAACTTGTTGTCAGTGGAGATAGTCATCCAATCTGCGTGGCTAGAACGTTAGAACTTAGAACTTTGAAGCCTGAATCTCTGCGTCCAGTGTTTTTTTTTTTATTTCGAGTAGAAGCAACAATGGTGGCTAATGGCTATTAGGAGATTCTAGCCCAGCCAGAATCCTATGTGTCATGTGTTGACTGTTGTCTGAATAAACCTAGTAGCTTTACGAACTACTGCTTCGGTCGGTTTTGGTTTAACCAAAAATCGAAACTGTGGTTATCGGTTAAATCGAACCACCCTTGACTGTCGCCGACCACCGATAGGTCAGTTTTCGGTTTTGGGCTCGGTTAGTCGTAAAACCGAAATTGTAATGGTTCTTTATTTTATTATTATTTTTTTGAATGGGACCTGTATAGAAATTAAATCAGGTCAATGGCTACATCATCCAAACGTAGCTGATCTAACAGGAAAACAGGCACTCTATCGAGCTGAACTTCTCTCGTCTCCCAATTTGTTTTGCTGTGGGCCATAATGTGCGCCGCCTGGTTTGCCTCCCGTCGAATGTGGCTGATGGTGCCGTCTGTGATCCCTGTCCTCCTCAACAGCTTCCTAATGTTCCTGCAAATGACACCCATTTCGGAGATAGCCTCACCCGCCTCCTGCATATGTCGAACAAGACACAAAGAGTCTACTTCTAGCGCGATTCGGGGGACGTCCAATTGGTTAGCAAGCTGAATTCCGAACTCCGCTGCAAGGGTCTCCGCCATCTCAACTGTGTGGCTACCTCGAATGTTCTTTGCAGCAGCCGCAATCAGTCTGCCATTATGATCACGAATCACCGCCCCCAGTCCAATACCTCCCTCTGCTAACATCCCCGCATCCGTATTGACCTTTGTCCAGCCTGTCGGTGGTCTTCTCCACTCCGTCTGCTCAGTACTCGCAGCTATAGCATCATTCCTCTGTTGCTGAATTTGGTACTCTTCTAGAGATCCTGGGATTTCAGAACAATTTCATGCTCCGGCCACTTCGCTCCATTGAACAGCTGCGCATTTCTTTCCTTCCATAGTGCCCACAGGAGCATCGCCCAGCCTTCAACAATCGACTGTTGGGCCTCCTTCATCACCTTAACCATCCACTCAAAGCAATTCCCCGCGTTCTGAGTCTCGAAGAGCTCCACAAAAGGTGATGCCCGCCATATCCTGGAGCTCCACGCACATTCGCGAAAATAGTGCTGCTGAGTCTCGGGTTCATTACAGAAAGGGCAACTCTCACTCCGTCTGTCATTCTTCGAATTAACCTTCACACTCGTGGGCAAGATTTCACGAATAAATTTCCATAAGAAATGCCTTACTTTTGGTGGAACATTAAGCTTCCAGATCTTCTTCCAAAACTCCGAGCAGCCTGGCGTCGTTATTCCCTCCCTCCGCTTGAAATCATCCAGCCATTTGCTGTAGCCGTCTCGAACCGTGTAGCTACCATTAAAGTTATGCTTCCAAATAAGCCGGTCCTGCTCATCACTGCCACGGAGAGGGATAGCCAATACCGCTTCTGCAATCTCTGCCGGAAAGCATCTCCCAACCAAATCGACATCCCATTGGTCTGTTTCCGGGTCAATGAGCTCACGAACAAAGGAATCAACAGGCAGCACTCTAGGGGCTGAACTTATGTACGCGACCTCCCCATCGGGCAGCCAGCTGTCACCCAAAATTCTGACTTGTGCTCCGTTCTCAATTCTCCATCGAAGGCCTTGGCATAAGAATTCTTGAGCGCCCATGAGGCTTCGCCAAATGTAGCTAGGTTGGCCGCCTAATCGAGCTTCCAAAATCGTGCATTGATTGTGATATTTTGCCCTCAACAGTTTTGATATGAGCGCCTCTGACCGCTGACTCAAAGACCACAATTGTTTTGCCAAAAGAGCTGTGTTGAAGCCTTTCATGTCCCGAAAGCCCATCTCGCCTTCTTCCTTTAGGGTGATTAGCTCTTCTCGGCGCAGCCAGTGTACTCTTCGTTCACTTTCTTTTTGACCCCACCAGAAGTTGATGATTAGTCTATGGATCTCATCCAGGATGCCATCCGGGATTTTGAACACGGACATGGCATAACTCAGCTGCGCCTGGGCAAATGACTTAATGAGAGTCTCTCGAGCAGCCACTGACATAGTCCTCTCCTTCCACCCCTTCAATTTCTTCCTTACCCGCTCCTTCAGACCCACAAAGAGCTCCTTTTTAGATCGCCCGACCTCAGTAACCAATCCGAGGTACTTGTCTTGATTCTCAACGATCGGCATTCCAAGAGTTCCACCAACGATCAGCTTGTGATGCGGCTTTACATTGGTAGCGAAGGAGACTTCTGACTTCTGGTAATTCACCTGCTGGCCGGACTCCCTCGCGTACGCCTGTAATAAATTCTTCAACTCCAGACTCTCCTGTTGTGTTGCCCTAGCAAAAAGATACTGTCGTCAGCAAAAAATAGGTGGGTAATCACCGGGGCACCCCTTGTCACCTGTAGGCCATGTAGCCTGCCCTCTGACACTGCCTTTGTTACATATGCCGATACTCCCTCCGCACAAAGCAGGAAGAGATTGGGTGACAAGGGGTCGCCCTGCCGAATTCCTCTACTAGGAACAAACGTCTGGGAAGCATGGCCATTCACTAGTACAGAGTACGAAACTGATGTCACGCCCATCATTATGAGTTTGATCCAACCCTTCGCAAACCCCATTCTCCGCATTACCCCCTCCAAGAACTTTCATTCCACCCTATCGTAGGCTTTCGCCATATCGATCTTTGCCGCAAAAAAGCCATGCTTGCGTCTCTTGCTCTTCTTCATGGTGTGGAAGCATTCAAAAGCTGCCATGACATTATCTGTGATGAACCTCCCGGGAACAAAGGCGCTCTACTCAGGGGAAATAATCCGATCCAGCACTGCCTTTAGCCGATTTGCTAGGACCTTCGAAATAATCTTGTAAAGAACATTACACAGACTGATCGGCAATATTCCTTCGGGGACACCGGTTTCTTTGTTTTAGGGATTAGGGCGATAAGGGTGTGGTTAAGGCCCTCCGGTATCACCCCCGTCTCCAAAATCTTCAGAATGGCCAACAATACTTCCTCCCCGATCACATGCCAGTACCTGCGAAAGAAAAGAGCTGTGAAACCATCCGGCCCAGGGGCTTTCCGCATCCCCATTTGCTTTAGGGCTCCAAAGATTTCCTCCCTAGTGAAAGGCTGGAGGAGGCGCTCGTTATCATCTTCAGTTACACGCCGGGAAATAGACTCAAGGACAGGCCAATCGAGCGGCGACGCGCCAGCAGTGAACAGCCCAGTATAGTAGTCCGCCATGCACTGTGATACTTCTTCTTGACCCACAAACCAACGACCTGTCTCATCTTTCACTTTCCTGATGGTGTTTCTTTTTCGCCTGGCCGAAGCTTTCCGGTGGAAATAGTTAGTATTTTTATCCCCACCCTTTAACCAATCCGCTCTTGATCTCTGTTTCCAGTACTGTTCCTCATTGTCCAACACTTCTGCCATCTCTTGTTCCAGCTAGCGGCACTGGGCGAGCACTTCCTCAGTTTTAGGTCTTCGTTCTAGGGCCCGGATGGCGCGGGTGATGCGAAACTTCTGTTTGGCAAAAGGTGGGAACTCCTTTTCACTCCATTGTGTCAGCTGAGAGCGGCATTGATCGAGTTTGGCTAGGATATCTTGGCCTCCCGAGTTACACCACGTCTCCTCAATTGTTCTTAGACAGTCACCATATTTTGACTAGTGCGGCTCGAACCTAAAGGCCCGACCCCATCTAACTTCCACATCCTCTGACCCTCGAGTGTCGCAAATAATCGGCCGATGATCTGAATTCGCCCGATCCCAGTGCTGAACATAATTGTTTGGGAAGAGATCTCTCCAACTGTCATTAGCCACAAATCGATCCAGCCTCTCCTCAATGAAACCATTTGTATGCCGACGATTCTCCCACGTGTAGGGATATCCATGGAAGCCTAGATCCTGAAGGCCAATATCCGTCAGGCAGTCGCCAAAGTGATTCATCTCCGGTTCATGCGCACATCTTCCTCCACTTTTTTCGTCAGTGCTTCTGACTTGGTTGAAATCACCACCACATAACCAAGGACCATCCCATTGCTGTCCAATCCTCCTAAGCAGATCCCAAGTCATCCACTTCTCAGTTCCTTTAGGCCAGCCATAAATCACGGTGAAGCGCCATCTAGCCCCGTCCTCCTCCTGAACTGCGACATCAACAAAGTTTAGAGAGAAATCCACTCTAGTTATCATCAGATCCTCTCCCCACCAAATACTGATTCCACCAGCTTTATTCCTCGTAGTAACCGTTGCAGGCCAACAGTCCCCGTTCTTGAATCCGCAAAGTTCCCGTAATTCTTTGTTTTCGTCAACTGTCTGTTTTGTTTCCATGAGGAAAACCACATGGGGGGAAGTGTGACGCACAAGTGCTCGCAAAGAATTGACTGCTCGCTTATTCCCCAGTCCGTGGCAGTTATACCATAAGATCCTCATCTATTCCCTGAAGGGGATAGGTTCCCCGCACCCTCAGTTGTTGTAGATTTTGGTCCAGATCCTCTCTTCCGGCTACTCTGCTATGCACTTGTGCCACCATTCAGCTTAGTACTGCTATTAGAGCCCTTTGATCCCTTTTCTTTCCCACCACTCGACGGCCCCTTCAGGTTCATTTGCGGTTCAGCTAGCCCCTTCCTGGGATGACTCATTTGGGAAAAGTTATCTGTTTTGTTGGTACCAGCACTCGACCTTGTCTCTGCCACTCTCTCCATTACCCTTTCCTCATCATTGGGCCGAACATCTTGGGAATTAGTCGGCTGTACCTCCTGCTGGGTAACCGAAGAGGGTTGTTGCTTCTGCTCTCCACCTGGCGTCTCTACCGCAACACTCTCCTGTAGCACTACCCTTGGTTCATGCATGCAAGATTCGTTCTGCATCTGTTCCTCGTCATTCAGTACCACAAACCGCGACCCAGAAACGTGCCCAACCTCTTCAGTAGGAGTAGGGCTCCGTTGTTGTTTCTCGTTATTCTTCTTCTCGACTTGTTTGACACCCAAATTCTTCCACTTTGGTTTCACAATCATCCATTCCCCGTAAAGAGGCCGTTGAACGGCCTCTTCTGTCGTCTTGTTTTCTGACGAGGCAGCTGGTTCTGCAGCCTTAAACAACTTTGGGCATGTGACTTTCAGGTGACCATACATTCCACACTCTGAACAGATGCGATGCAGACCTTCGTACTCAATGTAATACGTGATTCCCTCTATCTTATATTGTGAGAGAAGTGACTTCGTTAGATCCACTTCCACACAGACCCTAGCAAATCGCCCTCGGTCACCTAACTGAGTTGCCCAGTCCACGCGCACAGGGCGTCCAATTCTTGACGCAATACGTTCCACAACCTCCTTATTAATGAAGTCACTAGGGAGTCCCGGTAGTCTCGCCCACACCATAGTAGAGGCCACCTCAGCCATCTTGGGATTAAAGTTACGCCGCCACGGTCGAACCGTTATATAGTGATCACCAATCATCCAGGGGCCTCCAATGGCCACTTGTTCGTAGTCAAATTGACTAGAAAACCGAACAGCATAGAATCCAAAAGATAAACTTGATATCTGAAGAGCTCCACATTTTGCCCAAAGCGTTTCCAGCCTTCGTGAAATCACGGGGTTTGGGAAAGTTCGTCCCAAAACAGTAACAATCAGGGCCGAGCGCCATTTGCGCCTCCATCTTTGCTTCTCCATAGCCGTATACGCTATTGTAGGACAACGCGGATCGTCGTCCTCAGGGACTTCATCGTCCAGCTCATCTTCACGCATAGCTGCAGCCACATCTTCCGAATCTGATTCCGCAATGTACCAGTCATCCTCGGCGTGCAGGTCGTTGAAAAGCTTACGCGCTCCACTCCCCGTCCAAGCTGTCCTCTTCTGATCTCTCTGTGGAGAGGGGTTTATCCCTGACGTTGGGGAATGGACTTCCTCCATCGGTTCTTCGTCACTAAATAGCGGATTCTCCCTCATCGGTTTAGCCTTCTTCTTAGGTTGCTGTGTTTCCCGATCTCCTTTGGCGTTTGGGGATGAGGTTGTCGGCGGGGCCCTCCGGACTCCCCCGTTTGGTTCATGTTGGCCGGCGTCCGGGGGATGGGCCCCCGGCGCAGCTCCTGTCATTGGTCGCAAGCGGCGCAGAACACCGAGCAGGAAGAGAAAATCGCCGCTACGAGTTTCTCGGAGCTAGGGCAAAAGCGATACAAGATACGATATTAATGGTTCTTTATTAAAAAGGAAAGAAAGAGAGAGAGAAAGAAAAGAAAGAATAAAAAAAGAATAAGAAAAATAAAAAAAAGAAAGAAGAAAAGCATCACACACGTTTCTTCTCTCCTTATCTTCTTCTTCTACTTCTCTCCTTAGCTGCTTCAATTAAGGGTGAAAATCGGTACGGTATCGGTATCCAATACCAAATACCGAAATCCCGAATACCGAATTACACCCTAAACTCAATCTCAATCTCAATCCCTAAATATTTTGGTATCCCAATTGGTACTTCGGTATCCCAATCTGTATTATCGAATACAAAATTAATTACCTTTGCAGTTAAAAATTAAATATATAAATTAGATTTGATTGTTTAATTTAAGGCAAAGAGACTAAGTAAAGAGTTTTGAGTTTGCATCTTTAATTTGACGAATTGGAGGTTGAGAGACGACTAATACTAGTGTTTTCTTATTGGTGTTATGAATTTTTTTTTTTGACAAAAGATAATCATATATTGATAGAATCAAATCGATAATTACATCATGGAATTCAGCCAGGCATGAAAGTCAAAATAACGACACATAGTCGGGAAAAAAGACAGGGCCTGTCTAGCTACACTGTGAGCTACCCTATTGCTACCCCGACCTACAAATCGTACAATGAAGCCCGGATAAATCGTAAAAACTTGCAGAATCTCCTCCAAAATAGCCCCAATCCGACTATCACGCACATCAGCCTGACAAAGCTTCTCAATGACCACCTTGGCGTCCCCTTCAAACCTCATCGACACAAAACCCTGCGTTATACACCAGCGGATTGCTTCACGAAGGGTAAGTACTTCCGCCACCATTGGGTCATCCAGCCGAGGGAACTGAACACCAGCAGCCCAAAGGGTCTCCCCTCCCTCATTAAGGAGCACAAAGCCTCCCGCAGAGTGAGACCCTGAACGGACTGCTCCATCCCAACGACACATAGGCCCCCCCTGCCCCACCTAAACCCACTGTACTAGTGCTAGGAGGAGACAGAGAGGGACGCCGGGGATCATTAGGTAAGCTCAGCCATTCCCCTACCTGTTGGTGATACTGCCGCATCAGAGCAAGGATGCCAAACTGCTTCCCTTCAAAGACCACCCAATTCCGGGATCGCCAAATCCTCCATAGGATAGCAATTACTCCCATGAACTGCGAGGGTTGCTGCAAGATAGCCAGCAGCTTCTTCAGGAAAAGAGGGAAAGTGTGTCGGGGCAATCCTTCACCAAGATGATCTAGACCAGACTGAGTCCACAAAGCCCTGGCCACCGGGCAATCAAGGAAAAGTTAACAAGAGATATTAGGTGAGAAACGAGAGTGACTTAAATTGGAAAGTCAAATTTGAGTTGGATGGGGGCTTCTAAGTTGTGAAATAGCGATGGAATTATCTATGTATAATTAAATGACGCTCTTGGTGGTTGACGGTCGTGTAGTAGTTAATGAGAGCGTTTAGTTGAGAGAATAAAATACACACTAGCTTATATTTCGGTATTGATCGGTATTTCGGTATATACCGATTCCAATCCCGTAATCCCTAATACCGAATAACAATTGAAATTCAATCCCAATCCCAAAAAATAATACGTGTATTCGGTAATACCAAATATAGACAAATTGGGTACGGTATTCGGTATATCCCAAATACCGGTACCAAACTTCCAGCCCTAGCTGCAATGGTTGTTTTTAATAGATGAGTGTTGGAACCATGACCATGTGGCAATTTCGACTTGACTTATTTTATTCTACTTGTTTGGCCTATATTGGGAGGGGGCGGGCATGGTTTTTTGCCTCGATTTGACCCACCATGACTTGCTTCATTCCGACTTATTTTTGTTTAAACTATATATAATTTTATTCAAATTCCTTGGGATTTATTTTTATCATTTTCTCATACTTTAACTATATTAAAGTTGTATATAGTTGAGAACCACAATAAATCGAATAAGGTAACAATATTTATCATTTTATAGTTTGATTCTTGATTTTTAATGTAAAAATTAATATTTTTGACATGGGCAATAACTATTTATTATCCAAACCTTTATCGAATTCTTTTTTATTACCAAACCTATCGAAATACTAAGAATTAACCAAATGTTAACTTTCAGTTAGCAATTTTGTTAGTAATATTGACTTGGCAACATAATAATGACTTTGAACTTGGAAGAGACACATGAATGTCAACATTCCAAAATTTTAGTATTTTAACTAAGAAAAGAGTTACAAAATTATTAACGATAACGTAAAAATGGCTAATATTTTGATGCATTACGAAAGATTTGACTAATTAATAGCATTTTAATAGGTTTGGATAATATAAAAAATAAATATTTTAAAAAATTGGATAAAAAATAGGCATTACCCTTTTAACGTCTTCTTTTTAATTAGATATATATGGGTCGATATGGTCCAATTTGTGCCTATAATAAATTATCTTATCTGAATCTGACCTGCTACGAAGCGAATATGGGTATCGAGATACCCGCCATGACATGACATGCCCATTGCCATTCTTGGTCTAGATTAATGGTTTGAATGAGTAATATACGATTTATTTTGTAGATACACAAGTAATGACAGTAATGTGGACACTTTGACATGTCGATAAGCAGCGCAATGATGAACATATAATAAGTGATAGTACAAAGCATAACTAAGACGACTTTCAAAAAGAGATTTGGTTAGCAAGCGAAAGTACCAGATCTTTTGATCCAGCACTCGAGTCGTTCATTCCCTGCGCCATCATGCTCCTAGTAGCGTAATTAAAAAAGGTAACAAAAGAGGCAATGGAGGCCAGCCCATGAGAAGGCTAGTTTAGGGAACGAAAGAGGCAATGGAAGCCAGCCCATGAGAAGAAGCTTAGTCACGTGTAGCCATGAGCAAAAGCTGCCCCAATACAGCACTTTGTATGGCTTTACTCCCACTCTGCCACTCACTTACACTACACTCTTCTTCGTTTCCCATCCCCACTCCTTCCCCATCCTCCTATATATACATCTCCACTTCCCACACTCCACCAGACAAACAAACCCACACTCCTCCACTTCCACAACACAAAACGAACCACCATGAAGAAAACCCACTTCCTCCTCTGCTTCTTCGCCTTGGTCGTCGCTCACTCTGCCTCAGCAGCTTCCCCAAAATGTGACGCCCCTGAAGACCACGGCTCGACCCTGAAGGTGTTCCACATCTTCAGCCCTTGCTCTCCCTTCCGGCCCGAGAAATCGGAGTCGTGGGAGGAGAGCGTCCTCCAGTTGCAGGCCAAGGACCAGGCCAGGCTGCTCTACCTCTCCAGCTTGGTCGCCAGGAGATCTGATGTCCCCATTGCCTCCGGGAGGCAGATCGTACAGACGGCGACCTACATTCTGAGGGCCAAGATTGGAACCCCTCCTCAGACAATGCTCATGGCTCTTGATACCAGCAATGATGCTGCTTGGATCCCTTGCAATGGCTGCGTCGGCTGCCCTTCTTCTGTTTTCTTCGACGCGCCCAAGTCCACCACTTTCAAGTCCCTTGGCTGCCAGTCCCCTCAGTGCAAGCAGGTAACAAAATGATGCATATATCGATGATTGTAAAATTAGATCGGAGATTATACCGGAATTTCTACTACTAAAATTGTCTATCTGTTTTGGGTGCGGTATCTAGTATTTCCGATCCAATAGTATGTGAGATTATACCGAAAAAGTCTGTAGTAGAGTATTTTTACTAACGTAGTAGTTTAAATGTGGTTCAACGATCTTCTACTACTAAAAATGCCTATATGTTTGGCTGCGGTATCCAATATTTTCGATCCAATCGATTGTAAGATTTCTAAACCATTAGGTCCAACATCAGGTGTTAGTCTAGTTGTATCTTTAGATAATTTTTATTATTATTTAGGGATAATATAATACAATCATTATTAATTTAGATAATTTACTGTAAATAAATTAATTTAGATAATCTTAGTTTTTTCCATTATTGTCAATTTGTCATCCTAATCATGCAACTTGGATCTTATATGACAGCAAAGGTTTAGAAAGGAACAAAGCTTTTTGTGGGGTTATGAACTTATGATTCACTTTCCTAAAAGGAGGAGATTAGATTAGATGGAGAATAATGTGACGTCGTTTTCTTACGCGTGGAAATTGCAGGTACCCAACCCTACATGCGGCGGCAGCGCGTGCGTGTTCAACATGACCTACGGCAGCTCTTCCATCGCCGCCAACCTCTCGTCCGACACCGTCACGCTCGCCACCGATCCGGTCCCTAACTACACGTTCGGGTGCATCCAGAAGGCGACCGGGAGCTCGGTGCCACCGCAGGGGCTATTGGGCCTGGGCCGGGGTCCGCTGTCGTTCCTCTCCCAGACCCAAAGCCTCTACCAGTCCACATTCTCGTATTGCCTCCCGAGCTTCAAGTCCCTCAACTTCTCCGGTTCATTGAGGCTTGGGCCTGTGGCCCAGCCGAAAAAGATCAAGTACACCCCGTTGCTCAGAAACCCCAGGAGATCGTCTCTGTATTACGTGAATCTGATCGGGATTCGGGTGGGCAGTAAAGTCGTCGACATCCCGGCCAGTGCTTTGGCTTTCAACCCCACCACCGGTTCCGGCACCATCATTGATTCCGGTACTCCAGCTTTTTAATTTATTATTATTATTTTCTTCATAATGCTATTGTGGTGGCCACTTTGATCTAGCCAGCTCAATTTTCTTCAAAAATGTAAAATTTTTAATACATTTGAATTTAAATTCTTAGCCGGTTCGTTCAGATTTCTGACTCTGTGTGCTAAATACTGTGGTTCCACGTATCTGCAGGCACGGTGTTCACCCGGCTGGTGACGCCGGCGTACACGGCGGTGAGGGACGAGTTCCGGAGGAGGGTGGGGCGGAACGTCACGGTGACGTCGCTGGGCGGGTTCGACACGTGCTACGCGTCCGCCATCGCGCCGCCGACCATCACGTTCCAGTTCGCGGGTATGAACGTGACCCTGCCGCCGGACAACATCATGATCCACAGCACCGCGGGGACCACGTCGTGCCTGGCGATGGCGGCGGCGCCGGACAACGTGAACTCGGTGGTGAACGTGGTCGCCAACATGCAGCAGCAGAACCACCGGATCGTCTTCGACGTGCCCAACTCGAGGATCGGGGTGGCGCGTGAGCCGTGCACGTGATTGTGATGCTGGATCGCCAAGATCTTCAAAAAGCAGGGATTGGGGGATTTTGAAATGAATTTGATTATTAAAATAGTATGTGGTAGCTAGCTAGGTGTGGAGTGGTTTTGGGATCGTGATTTTCTCATATGGGTTGTCGTTTTGGATGGACCAGAAAGGGTTCAGGGATCTGATCTGAGCTGAGGTCAGGTCAGGCTGGTTACTTTTGTTTGTTTGTTTATCTTGGTCGGAGTGGAGTCAGGAAACTGTGACTGTCACGGGTTGGGATATCATGTATTTGGTCAAATAATTACACTATGTCGGTAGAAAAAGATTGGTTGTTTTTTTTTTTTTTTTTGTTGTGTGGCAAGAATTGTAAAACCTTATCAATGTTTGTACGGGGAAAGTTATAAGTACAATCTATTTCATGTTGTTAAATTGTGTTGAAATTGTGATATAAATTATGTTTCAATCATTTCATATTTTTAAATATTATCTACTGATTTAGTATTTGATAGAAAATTTTCCTGGTCGAATAATTAATTCAGAACAATTTTTCAATCATTGGTTTGAAGATGGGCAGCTCTACGTTATGTCACTAACTCACGGGTGCCTTGGATATAAATAAAGCTAGTGGATTGAGTATTGAGGAGAGTGGAGCTTGTTTTTTTGAATGTTAACGGTGGGGTCTCTCGGTCACGGAGTTGGAACTCCATTTGGGGTCTGGGGATATGGGTTGGTATTTTCTGTCCAGTCACTGCCTACTGGCATCTGTCGTGTACGGAATAGAAAGGTCCAATTTTAGTAGGGCTGGCAATTTGGTTCAGGACTATTTGGTTTTACCCGAAGCCGGACTGTATAATCTGGATCGGGACCGGATAGCAAACAATCCAATCTCATATTCGGGCTTAGATTTGAGGTAACAAACCCGGATAAAAACCGGATAAGAGACCTCAACACTCAAATTCCTACAAGCTCAATCTAAAATCAAAATCAAATTGGGACCAGACCGGGTCACGACCGGAGTGTATCCAATCCAATCTTTGGTCCTTATATTTCCGAAAATACCAAACTGGGACCGGATCAATTTGGTCCAATTTAACCGGACCGGACCGTATAGCCACCCCTAAATTTTAGATTATAGTTAGATCACGGATACTAACAGTCGTCCCAGCTATGAGCTAACAGTGATAAAGTGATATTGCGGTTCAATAGCACAAGCATGTGATAGTTGTGATCAACAGAGAAGAAGAAGAAGACTGCAGAGAAGAAATGGAGCTGATCATCTCTTGATGCAGTAAGGACTCAAAGAAGAAGAGACTGCAGAGAAGAAATGGAAATGTTGTCGCTCTATTACTAGTTGTACTAGAATGGGAACCGCTCAGTTGGTAGGAGCAAGGTGGGGTATGAAATTTGATAATGTAACGGGGTGTATAGCTTATTGTTATATAGTTTTTTTGGGAAACACATGATAAATATAATGAATTTTAGCAGGAAATGGATGATGCAACGAATCAAAAATCAGCCTTATGAACCAAAATCAAGTACCTGTTACCTTGTGAAACAATATTGTTTCTGGTAATATGATGAGGTGGAGTAAGTTTTATAGAAACCGGATTCCAGAAAATCGAATAAAAAATTGCCTATCCCGCCGATTTTCGGGAAATGACCATCTCACAATCGTTGCCAGCTTTTACTCGGCTTGTTGGCCAATTAATTTGCTTTATAAAACTTTCATCTTGTCGTCATTGTGCTTTCTGGTTTTTGTCAGGCCGTGATAAAATCTAAAGAAATCAAGAACGAACAACACGATTTGAGATAGGAACCGCCGTTCTTGTATCCCTAGAAAATGGAGGTAAACACAGACACAGATTCATCTGCCGAACTGTTTTGGATTAAGATTTTTATCGGGTATGAGGGAACCATGTGATTATAAATTAGACTTGAACAAAACGGGCCAAAACTTGAAATTGAAACATGTTTAACCGACCCATGTCAAACTCTAATTATTCTTTACTTTTAAATTTTTTATTTTAAAATAAAAAAGAAAAGAGACGACTGCAATTCGCCATTTGCACATCACTGATTTGGGAATAAAACCATAGAAATTCGAAAGGAAACTGAAAATGTTTAGGATCGTTTTAATGTTAAAAATAACCAAATAGATCTTTCTTTTTAGTTTTTCTAACAAATACCAAACGAGTTCCCTATAAAATACACTATAATTTAATCATTATGATATCAAAGAATTACATAATATGTATTTGAAATGATAAAAATTGAACTAATTGGGTTGGTCGAGCTTGAACCATTTAATAACTTTAAAATACATTATATTTTAGCCACTAAGATATAAAATAATAGCATATAATATATTATGCTATAGAAAATAGCTTGTCTTAGGATGGGAAACCCATGATGTTCATTTGTTTTACTTGATGGGCAAATCCCGCGTAGGTCAAACCCATTCAACTCTTTTATTTTATGGTTAGTGGTTAGCCCATTAGAATCCATGAATTATTTTATTATTAAATTTTTTCTTTTTAGCAATAAAAATGAGTATTGTTTTTGCCATTTCATATATATTTTACCAACACCGAGAAATAAAAGGTTTTAAAGGAAAAAATTGACACTCCTGGGCCCGTTTAAACCACATGTGTACGATAGAGTCGTTAATTCCGCAGCTCAGGGAGAGAATTCCATTTATCCCTAAAAAATTTGAATAAAAAGCAAAGGAGTCATGCCGCTGACTGACTCGACTCTACTGTCACCCTAGGAATTGGCCAAGTGAAACCACTTCCTAAAGCGTAGTATAGCGGGTTAGGTTTGTATGTCAACCAGGGTCCTAGATCTGATGACTACTCGGTGAATTCTTGTTATCTAGCAATGAAACTGGAATGCAAGCCTAAACTATCAAACTAACAAAGCAATTAAACTGTTGTATTCAGGTTAAAGAGGTCACCCGGATATGGTTCCCCCTAGACTGCAGTTAAGCCGGATTGTAATTACCAAGTTCAATTTCTATGAAAGTTATACTGCGGAAGGTTCTTAAACAGCCTGAAGTCTCGACTAAAGGTCTTCAGACCCTCTCGATCTGAATCTCTAGCGGGCGACTAACCTCCACCGGAGTAGACAGATTGAGGCCCTAAGAACAAAACCTCCACTACCAGAGTAAATCCAGTACAGAATAGTGAGTTGGTTCCTCGACTAAAGTCACCAACTCCCTACCTTCAATCAAGGATACTCTATCAACCTAGGCAGATATTCTCATTCTAGGTCAAAGCAGAAACAACAGGAATTTGATCAGGATTCAAGTCATTCAATCATTCAAACCTCAATCGAATATAATCAATCATAGAATCAGTACTTGGGTTCATACAATCAAAGCCTAACATACAAATCTAGGGTTCTCCATACCCAGATGAATGGGAGAACTACTCCATGGAGAAAGAAGCAAAAGCAGAATCAGACGCGGAATTCATACTGTGAAGGATGGATTCCTGCTTCTCGACGTTGATCGGCACTTCTCCAAGCTCAAACTGGCCTCCAATGGTGTTGAAGATCAATCTAGGGCACTTGGAGACTCTTGTTCGTCGCTTTCTCTCTCTAGGAACTGATCTCTCTCTCTCTCTAAAACTCGAATCCCCCTCTGTTTGGCTGAAAATCTGCTTAAAAGGGCATCAGCCAAAGCACGGTCGAGGGCACGGCCGTGTAATGCCTCAGCCCGCCCGTGCTTTGGCTAGTGTTAATTACACGGCCAGTGCATTGGGAGAAACACGGTCGTGCTTTGGTGGAACACGCCCGTGCTTTGGCAGAACACGCCCGTGCTTTGTTTTGGCCCTGCCCGTGTAATCAGCTCAGCTCTCGGCATAAAAAGCACGGCCACAGAACACGGCCGTGTACTGTTTTAGGTGTGCCCGTGTTTTGGCTCCAGCTTGACGAAATGACCTCCGAATGCCCCGAAACTCGCGCTTAGCCTTCCCTTTGACACCTGGGACCTGAAACATGACAAAATAGCACAACCCGGCGTAAAATAGGCCAAAATACACGACTATGCCCCTCAAACGGATAAGAACTAAGGGCGCAAATATGTGCAATTACATCGTTATCAAACTCCCCCACACTTAACCGTTTGCTTGTCCCCAAGCAAACCAAGTCAGACACAAGGTAAGCTCAAAACAAGAAGGCATGACATATCGGCACAAAATACGTGGATCATACTGGCTTTCGATCAGTAACACATGGACAACTTCAATGACAACCTAGACAACCACCACAGATGACATTCGAATGCAGTAAAATCGAGCAAAGGAAGAGTCTCCCTTCTGTTCACCAACCAACATAGACTTGACTCAACCACTTGTTCAAAACAGTCACATCATGCACAAAGTTCAAGGTATCAGAAGTAAGACCGAGCAATCTAGGTCCTCACCGGGATAAAGAGTATAAAGAATAAGAGAAAATGAATCACTCACTCTCGACCAGTGGGGTCAGGACAATATAATGCGAAAAATGCGCATGCTCAATCTCTCAGTCCCTAACATCTCTTCATCATGAATGCAGCCTCTAAGTGCTAGAGTTCACAAATGGGGTGACATCACTAACTAATCCGGAGGTCTTAGACCCAGGTTCAGATGACTGGTTAGGGTCTTGGATATGGGGAAAAGGCCTTTTAGGTGGTGGAAGTATTCATACAGCACAAGTTTCCACATTTCCAAACCCAACAGACTCACAATCAATCAAACCAATAACTTTCTTTCTGCTATTCTGCATTACTCAAGTTCAGAGCACAAGAGCGAAGGAGGTTACATAAATGCTAGTATTTCTAAGCCAGACTGCTAAGAAACACGCCCGTGCTTTGTTTTGGCCCTGCCCGTGTAATCAGCTCAGCTCTCGGCATAAAAAGCACGGCCACAGAACACGGCCGTGTACTGTTTTAGGTGTGCCCGTGTTTTGGCTCCAGCTTGACGAAATGACCTCCGAATGCCCCGAAACTCGCGCTTAGCCTTCCCTTTGACACCTGGGACCTGAAACATGACAAAATAGCACAACCCGGCGTAAAATAGGCCAAAATACACGACTATGCCCCTCAAACGGATAAGAACTAAGGGCGCAAATATGTGCAATTACATCGTTATCACTGACAAAGATGCTATGTATATTTAGATTAGATCCCCTCCAACCCATACTCGTTATCAATCTGCATTTCCAAGTAGTTTTCTCATATAGACAGAGTCGGGCCCACGTGTTCTTAGATCTTGTTCAACTTGATTCAGAAAAGATATTTCCCGGCCGTCTTTTTCGGCTGGGCTCCATTCGGGGTGGGTGTCCAGCCCGTCCCGCTTTTCCTGATGAGGGAATAGAGTAAGGGGCGACCTTTTATTAAAACAAATAAGTAGGTGTAGGTAAGGACAGATATGGTTGTGTAATCCTCTACCGAATCTCTTGAAATGAATGCTATTTTGCTAAACCCTT